CTTCCATATGAATCTTAGGATGGTTTTCTCCAATTCTGTGAAAAATGTCATGGGGATTTTCATTGACATTTCATTGAATCTATAAATGGCTTTTGGTAGGATGATCATTTTCACAATATTAATTCTTCCAGTCCATGGACATGGGAGACCCTTCCATCTTCTGATGTCTTCCTCAATCTCTTTCTTTGAAGATTTAAAATTTTCATTGTACACATCTTTAATATCTTTGGTTAGGCATGTTTATTCCAAGAGATATTTTTTTTGCATCTATTGTGAAGGGGAGTGTTTCCATGTACTCCTTCTCTGATTGCTTGTTATTGGTGTACAGAAAGGTTACAGAATTTTGTAGGTTAATTTTGTAATCTGCCACTTTACTGAACATGTTAATAATTTCTAGGGGTTTTCTGGTAGAATTTTTGGCATCTCTTAGATGTAATATCATATCATCTGCTAAGAGGGATAATTTGATCTATTCTTTTCCCATTATTACTCCTTTCATTTCCTGCTCTTGTCTTATTGCTCTTGCAAGAGTTTCAAGCACTATGTTAAAGAGAAGTGGAGATAGTGGACAGCCTCATCTGGTTCCTGATTTCAATGGAAATGCTTCCAGTTTTTCTCCATTTAGAGTGTTGTTCTCTGTGGGTTTGTTGTAAATGGCTTTAATTATGTTGAGGTATGTTCCCTCCAGTCCAATTGCCTCTAGGACTTTGAACATGTATGCATGTTGAGTTTTGTCAAAGGCCTTCTCTGCATCTATTAAGACGACCATGTGATTCTTGTGTTTGAGCCCATTTATATGATTTATGATGTTTATTGACTTACATATATTGAACTCAACATCCCTGCATCTCTGGAATAAAGCTAACTTGATCATGGTGGATGAACTTCTTGATGTGTGTCTCTATGTGGTTTGCAAGTATTTTGTTGAGAATTTTTGCATCTATGTTCATTAAGGATATGGTTCTATAGTTTTCTTTTTTGATTGTATCTTTATCAGGCTTTGGTATTAGAGTGATGCTGGCTTCATAGAAGGCATTTGAGTTCTCCCTCCATTTTTAGTTTTTTGAATAAATTAAGTAGTATTGGATGTAGATCTTCTTTAAATGTCTGATAGAATTCTGCGGTAAATCCACCTGGTTCTGGGCTTTTTTTAGTCGGGAGGTTTCAAATTACTGTTTCAATTTCTTTTTGTGTTATAGGTCTGTTTAAGCTGTTAATCTCTTCTTGGTTTAGTTTTGGTGGTTCCCATGCCTTACATATCTGTCCATTTCTTTTAGGTTTTCAAATTTAGTAGCATATAGGTTTTTAAAGTAGTCCCTAAATGTTCTGTATCTTTCTGGTGTCTGTTGTGATATTTCCCCTTTCATCTCTGATTTTGTTGATTTGGAGGTGCTCTTTCTATCTTTTGGTTATCTGGGCTAGTGGTCTGCCAATCTTGTTTATCTTTTCAAATAACCACCTCTTGGATTCGTTGATTCTTTGTATATTGTTTTCTTTGTTTCGATTTCATTAATTTCTGCCCTGATTTTTGTTATTTCTTTTTGTCTTCTGGGTTTGGGTTTCAAATGTTGCTTTCCAGGTGTCTTGAGTTGCAATGTAAATCATTTATTTGTGTTCTTTCCAATTTTTTAATGTAGGCACTTACAGCTATAAACTTCCCTCTAAGGACAGCTTTCAGCATGTCCCAGAGATTTTTTTTTTGTGTTGTATTGTCCTTTTCATTTAGTTCCAGGAATACTTTCATTTCTTTCTTAATTTCTCCTTTGACCCAGTCATCATTCAGGAGTGTGTTGTTTAATCTCCATGTGTTCATGTGGGACTAGGGCTTCTTTCGGTGGTGATTTTAAGCTTTATTTCATTGTGGTCTGATAAAATGCATGGAATTATTTCAATCTTTTAATATTTATTGAGGCTTGTTTTGTGCCCAGTGTCTGGTCTATTTTGGAGAATGTTCCATGGGGCACTAAATAGAAAGAATGTCCTTTGGTGCTTGGGTGGAATACTCTGTAGATGTCTGTTAGGTCCATTTGATATATGGTATTGTTTAATTCAGATGTCTCTCTGTTAACTCTCTGCCCTGTTGACCTATCTAATGGAGACAGTAGGGTATTGATGTCCCCTACTATTAATGAGTTGGGATTAATCTGGGTCTTAGAGTCCTGTAGTATTGCTTTTATGAATTTGGTTGCACCAGAGTTCGGTGAATATATGCTCATGATTGTAATATCTTCTTGTTTTTTTTTGTTCCTTTGATCAGAATGAAGTAGCCCTCTTTGTCTCTTTTGGTTAGTTTTAGTTTAAAGTCTATTTTGTCAGATATTAGAATTTCAATACCTGGTTTTCTCTTAATTCTGTTCACATGGTATATTTTTTCCATCCTTTCACTTTAAGGTAGTGTCTGTCCTTGAAAGTGAGATGAGTTTCTTGCAGACAACAAAAAGATGGGTTTTGTTTCTTAATCTATTCACCTAGTCTGTGTCTTTTGACTGGGGAGTTCAATCCATTAATATTTAAAGTTATTAATGAAAGATATGTATTGAATCCTCTCATTTTTATTTCTGTTTACATTCTTGATATAGCTGTAATTTTCCACAGTTTTACCTGCTTTGAATTTCTTTCCACAATGCCTTTTGTATAGTCATTCCTTTCTTTAGGTCTTTGTATTGCTTCCAGAACTCTCTGAAGGGCTGGTTTTGTGGACATAAATTCCTTCAGCCTATATATGTCATGGAAGATATTCCTTTCCTCTTTAACTGTAATAGACATTTGGGCTGGGTATAGTAATCTGGTTCGGCATCTGTGATCATTTAAAACTGGGAATACTTTGGTCCAGGGTCTTTTGTCTTTCATAGTTTTCACTGAAAAGTCAGCTGTAATCCTAAGTTGTTTTTCTTTATAGTTCTATATGCTTCTTGTATTTGTATGGGCATGTCTTTATTTAATTTTGGGGTATTTTTTCCACGAACCTGTTGAAGATCTGGTCCGTGCCATTATCTTGGGATTCTTCTCCTTCCTGTGTGCCTGTGATTCGTAAGTTTGGTCTTTTTATGGTGGCACACAATTCCTGCATATTCCATTCTTGTGCTTTCTTAAATTTTTCATAATCTTCGCTTGGTCTAGTTCGTCCACTTTATCTTCCAGTCTTGATATTCTTTTTTCCATTTCATTCATTCTATTGGCAAGGCTTTCTCCTGTTGTTTCTAATTGGCTCATTGAGTGTTTCACTTCCTTCTTCATTTCAGCCTGAGTAGTCTTCAATATTTCTAGTTCTTTTCTGAATTCATTCAGAAGTTTATCCCTAGCTTCCTTCATTTCTTTGATTTCTTTTAGTTCTTTAAATTCACTGAATTTTTTATCATGTTTATAATTGTTTGAGGTCCCTGTCTTGCATTATCTCTAAGGCATTCTCATTGTACTCCTCTAGAGGCCTATTGGTATTTGGTGGGGATATGTTATTTTGGTTTTTCATGTTATTATTTTTTTCTCTGTGATTTTGACATGTGAATTTCTTTTGTAGTTTCTGATTCTTGTGTGAGACTCAAGCCTTCAAGTTTAGATCTGCTTCTTTTTTTAAACTTTATGTGCCTTTGTGGTTTACTTTTGGGGCATGAAAAGCTCGTAGGTTGGTCTAAGTTTCTGGTTCTCACTTTTATTTATTTATTTTTTTATCTTTTTGAGACAGGGTCTCTCTATAGTCCCAGCTGTCCTGAAACTCACTGTGTAGACCAGCGTGGCCTTGAACTCACTGAAATCCGCCTTCCTCTGCCTCAGGAGTGCTGGGATTAAAGGCATGCGCCAGCATGCCGAGCTTCTTTTTATTTTTTAAAATTATTTAATAACCATATACTTATAAGAAGCATTTCATTACATCAGTATTGACATATTCAATAAAAATTTTCTGATCTAGGATATATCTCTTACAAAATTGGCTGAACATTTTTAGGTTTACAGTTGAATTATTACAGTTATACAATATTGTACTCATTGTTACTTAGTATAAACCCTATAAGACATAAAATTAAATGAGGTTTTAACCTTTAAAAAAGATCTCCATTTCATTATTATTACAGTTTCATATAGAAAAATTCATTTTAATGCAATTGACATTAAGATGTTTGCACATGTGTTTCTAATCTCTATATATGAGATTATTGCTAGTCACAATCTGTTAGTTTCTGAGCTCCTTCACATCTGAGCATGGATGTAAAGTCATCAGGTTTCAGTGATAATGTTTTTCTTATCTACTAATTATTAAGGAGCAAATTTTTATGCTTTGAAGAATTATTTTTTAATCATTATACTTCTTAAAATTTTTAAAACTACATCATTAGAAGCTTTTCACTACACCTTTAACATATTCAGTAACACACTCTAGAGCGACAGTGTATCTCTTTCATAAGTGGGTGCAAGTTTCTAGGTTCACAATTGAATTAATATAGTTATATGTTATTGTTTTTTTTATTGGAATAGCCAGATTGCTTTTGTCTTCAGGAGTTTCACAGAGGCCCAAGTCAGATGAAGATCAGATACTCTCAGGCTTTCTCCTAAGGTCTGGATCCCTCCAAGAAAGATGTTGCCCTCAGGAGAGTTTGGGGGGTTGGACTTGCCTGGGAGCAGGGCCCAAGAAAGATGCTGGTCTGGGACAGCTGGTGGCTATGTCACCCAGAGATGCAAAGGGAGATGGGCAGGAAGAGGCCCTAAGGGCTCCTGGGGACTGCAGGGAGGAACTGGGTTGGTCTGGATGCAAAGGATCAGGATCCGGAAGCTGAGCGGTCAGCCCTTGTGTCCAGGAAAGAGTCTGGTGGGTTGTGCAGTCCAGGGAAGCAGAGGGAGGTGAGGGTGTGACCAGACCCAGAGGGCTCCTGGTGACTGCTAGAATGAGTTGGGTTCTTCTGGATGCAAGGAATCAGAAAGCAGTGGTAGTTCTGGACTGAGAGGTCAGCCCCAGTGTCCAGGAAAGAGGCTGGCAGGTTGTGCAGCCCAGGGAAGCAGAGGGATGTAAAAATATGGAACGCTGCATGAATTTGTCATCATTTCACAGGGGCCATGCCAATCTTCTCTGTATTGTTCCAATTTTAGTATACATGCTGCCGAAAGGAGCACTATAAGAAGGTTTTTTAAAGAGGCGTTAATGTCATGGCCATGACATTTTGCATGTCAGGTGACTGCAAGGAAGGTTGTGTCTAAAACATGGTTGTCTCAAAATGTGGTCTTCATGTCAGTCAGCATCTTCATCAGCAATGTGAGCTTGGGCAAGTTATATCATCTCTCAAAATTTATATCTGCATGACTTAAACTATGAGAATTACACTTACATTATTAAATTCTTGTGGGACTCGAACATAAGTCACACAGTAACTAATATATAACAAAGTGTAATCAGTGGCTATTTTTATTGTTAATGTATTGAGGAAGATAATTATCAGTTGGTCAGTTTTTAGATTGGATACATTTTGACATTATCTGAATTTTGCATTGAGTTAGGCCATATTTTCTTGAAAAAAATCTTAAGGTTTATTGAAAAGGCATTCGAATTTATTATCTTTGTATATAATTATGGTACATGGGAGACTATGTACAAGTCAATGGGAATAAATTCTCTGAGTATGCATGGTACCTTGGAGGAATTAGCAGTTTGGGATTTGTAACCTTATAAACTCAGTTCATAAAGTTACAGTAGATCTCTCAGAGCCCCATAAAGTGGTTTCAGGATAATTTGCTCAATTATTTTCTGTTCTGGATAGATAGATGGGCACTAAATGACTGACCTAAAATGAGGAAGCTAATAGCAAACTTGGAATGCTTTTACTTGCCTTAACTCCATGCCTCTTATTTTATGAGGACAAATCTCTTCTTGGATATAGGGCATGAAATAACAGTTAATATGTTATTACAGTTTTTTTTAAAGATCTGCTTTATTTCCCATTAAGGAGTTTTAGAGGAGTCAGCATCATCTAACCTGATAGGTTTTATATGTGCAAAATGGAAAACTCATTAACCTACATTAGTGAAATTATTGGCAAACAGTAAATTAAGTAATCAAGAATGACTATCTAATGGCTTTTGTATTGGTCTTTTGAAATTAAGTTTATTATTGGCACTCATTGTCTGGTAATATTTTATTTTAGTTGTCAGTGCATTAAAAATATTTTGGTAAACATCTAGAGACTATTCCTCAGCAATTAACAGTAACTGGTCAGCAGTATGAAGTGGGCTGCCTACGGCATGGCATCCGATGTCTATGTTGCTGTGAGAGGCAGGTCACCATGTGTGTATGACTGTGAGTGAGCTGTCTTACAGGGTCTCAGCAGCCACTTGACTGCATTTGAAGTCCTTTACAGAAGGATGAGGTGTGTCATTCAGAGATACATTTTTAAAGTTATGAAAACTCTTCAACCTATTAAATTCTTGATGTGGTGTGGTCATAAGAACCAGTTGTACACTCAGCACAGGTATCAGTTGGTAAATGAAAGCCCAGGGTGGCTCTAACATGTTTAAATGAATGAAAAAAAAGAAAAATAATATTTTATGACACATGAAAATCATTTGAAATTAATTTCAGAATGACTAGAACACAACTATTCCTCTTCATTTATTTAGAAACAGTTGAGTAATTGGGACAGGCCCTATGGTCACCAAAGCATATGAAGAGAATCACTTACTATCCCTTTCCAGAAAGTTTGCTGTTCCTCAGCCTTGAGAGATACTCTATCTCATGTGCCAGCCTTTTTCAATACTGGTTATTGAATGCTCAGTTCACTGCACAGCATGTGGGTGTTGTCAGCATATGTCTCTGTGACAGCATATGTGATAAAACACCCAAAAAAGGAGGAAAGCTTTATTTTGGTTCATGAATTCAGATAATTCAGTCCAAGGGCAGCTGGATCCATTGCTTCAGATCTGAGGAGAAGCAGAATTATAATGGTGGCCAGGGATAAGAGAGACAACAATAGGGACAGTCAGGAAGGAGATCTCCTTCTAGGTCCACACCCAGTGACATACTTCATCCCACTCAGCCCGACCTTCTAAAATTTCTGCCACCTCCCAAAATAGTACCATCACCTGGGGACCCAGGCTGTGACTCATGAGCCTGTGGGGGACATTCCACATTCAAACTCTAATGGTGGTGGAGTTTTTGATCTGGTGGAACAGAAGGAAACAGAATAACAGTGGGAACTGTTTGGGGTTCATGATGTAAAGTTAATATTTTAATAGTTTTAAGATTCAGTAATCATAAAAATTATTTTATTCTAATAAAACATTTTAATACTGATAGAATTTAATACTCGTTATAGACAATAACATTTATATATTAATAAAATTAGTTAAAATAATGATAAAGTTATTTGGCTAATTTAAGTATTGATCATAAACCTTAGTATTTGAATGTTTCAAGAGGGTATCTTTTATTGATTTTTTGCAAAGAAAAAGAGATTGCAGGGTACATATTCCTGAAAAGGACACCTGTATCAAACTTCTGCCTCCCAAGGCTCAGGGATCATTGCAGAAGAAGGAACAGAAAGAATATGAAGGCTAAAAGTGGTTAGATGACCCCAAGGAAACAGTTTGGACTTAAAAAAATCCATAAATATATCATGCTGAATATAAACCTACTCTTATTTTAGGTATTTTGAAATTTGCTGTTATTAGGATCAAATACTGCAAACATTTCTTTGTCAGTGGTGGGGAGTCAGTGCAGCTGTTATCCTTGTGGGACATCTGGAAACTAGTCATCAATAATTTTCTTGCTTTGCCTCTGATAATTGTTTGTTTCCTTATCTTTGGTGATCTTTTTCTTATAAACTAATTTAAAACTAATTGAAAAAAATCATGAATTGTTCATGGAGTACTTTATGCTGCAGTATTTGTTAACTTCTGCAAACATTTATTTCTCACCTTCCCCAACTGGATAATATCTCTGTGACCATGCATTTTACACCTTACTTAAATGCATATAAAACATCAAGATGATGCCACTGTAAGAATCAGAGGAAAATTATTATTTAATTTCTTCAGGGCAGAATATGTAAATATACCATCACTGTTGCTCTCCTGTGTTTGAATCATGTCCTGCTTTATCTGAGTTTATGTTTTAAAAAAACACAAAAATCCCTCAAGGAGAAGAATGGTTTTAATCCAGCCATCCTCTGTCCATCAAACTCCTTTTGACTGCCTGATAAACGCCCCTTTGATCCTATCCATTAAAATGGAGAAGTCAGTTCCCCGTGCATAAGGAGCACCATGTGTTGCCTGCTTCCTTCAAAGTCCCTTTTTCCTGAAATACCAGATTAGAATTTGCCAGATAATGAATTTTAGTTTGGTGGTGGAGTTGACTCTGAGGCCTCAATCTCCTGAGCATGCACGGACACTGAGCTACATTCCCAGTCCCAAGAAAAGAAGTTTTACCTTAAGTGTGATTTGCACCATTTTTTTTAAAGTTATTTTTCCCATGAGTGCACTATCTCAAATGTAAAATACTACCTCATTTAACTTAGCTTACCTCTTCTGTTCTTCAGAATACACTCAAATCTTATGAATTATTATGTTGACAATAAAACTAGCTTATTTGTAGTTTTTCAATCTTTCTGTGCCATTAATATTTGCTCTCTATTTTTGTTTCTTGGACTTTATGCCCTGTATCATTTCATATAAACCTACATTTTCTTGGCCATTGTGAATTATTACATCTTGCTATTTGATTTATTATACACTTTCTGATACAATCTGATTTCTTTTAGCCCAAGAGCCTTGCACATGCTAGGCAAGCAGTATACTGCTGACCTACATCCCTAGCGCTATGATCCGATTCTTAATGTTTCACCTTTTTAAAAAATATTTTATTTATTATTTTTATTGTATGTGTATGAGTATATTGCCTGCATGTATGTAAGTGCACTCATGTCATACAATGCCCATGGAGGTCAGAAAAGGGCGTTGGATTCTCCTAGAACTGGAGTCATGGAGAGCTGTTAGCCATCATGTGGTGCTGGGAATCAAACCTAGGTCCTCTGCAAGAGCAGCCAGTGCTCTTAACCACTGAGACAATTCTGTAGCCCAATATTTCACCTTTCTCGTCTTCAGTTACTCCTGAATGGAGAAGCAAATGTGGTCAATAGATAGTTATATGAGTGATGTCACTCACTGCAGTGTGGTGTTGTTGACATAATAGATTTTATTCCTCTACTGTGTAAAGTCCCCACCTTAAAATTTCACCTGTAAAAAGATTAAAAAGTAATGGTCTTGTGCTGTAATTTAGTGCATCCTGGGTTCAGTCTCTAGTTCTCCAAAGAAATAAAAAAAAACTTATTGAATAACTAAGTACACTGGGCTATATCATTTTTGGAAGGCAAGCTACAATCAGTGCCTCAAAGGATCATGTAATAGTTTTAAATTTTTATGTGAGTGTTTGGTTTCATATTAACTAAAACATAATTGTAGAAGACGCTTTCTCTCCTTGTGATCACAAAGGTATTCTTTCTAAAATACGTTTATTTATCTGTGTGTGTATGTGCATGCATGTGCACACACACATGCCATACTGTATGTGTGCAGATCAGAGGACAACATGGAGAAGTCAGTTTTCTCCTTTCACTATGTAAATTCCAGGGATGAAACTCAGGTAGTTAGGCTTGGCAGAAAGCTCCTTTACCTCCTAAGCCATCTCACTAACCCTGCAGAGGTATTCTTAAATCCTGTCTCTTCGTGTGTGTGTGTGTGTGTGTGTGTGTGTGTGTGTTTACGTGTGTATATGAAACATGCAAACTTAGTCCTAATTTCATTTAACATACAGGTATTTCTGCCAACCCTTTATGTCCAAGCATTTTGAGTAACCCTAGGGGTGGAACACTAAGATGTTAATTCTTTATGTTAAAATTACAGATGTTGTTATAAACTCCTATCTGTGATTAATTGAAGAAGGCTAAATATGATTGTAGTGACAACATTTTATTAGTATATGTTCATTACCCAAGATAACAAAGAACACTTCACTAAGAGACCAGTATATTGTATCTTTAGGGTCTTTGCCTGTCTGTTCCATATACCTACACCCAATGGAGTATTTATATTCCCATGATCACCAAATGTTCATAATAATCTAATTT